CTCTCTCTCTCTCTCTCTCTCTCTCTCTCTCTCTCATCTCACTGTCTCTGTGTATTGCTCACATGCTCTCTCTCTGGTTCTCACTCTGTCATACAGAGGCAGCTCCAGGTCAGTTCTATAAAAATGGATATATTTTCAAACAATGGCATGTCTTAGTTATGTGTCTGTTGCTGGGACAAAATACACGCCACCCAGCGGTGGAGCAGAGCACAGGTCACAGTGCCGCCGGGCAGCGTGAGCGACAAGGGTGGGCGAGCCTCGCTCTGTCCCTTGTGCTGTGTCACCTGCCCACCTAGGGCAGGTGTGCCAGTCACAGCCTGAATGCCAGCATCATCCTTTAGATTTTACTATGTCTGCAAAACTTGTCCCCGTGCCTGCATGAGGCTCTAGGGAGACACCAAGACACAAGCTGTAACATCTTTTAACCGTGTTTTGAGAGCACTCTCCTGATTTTCCCCAGGGAAGTACTCTTGGGTAACCAAGACATGGGGCGTGAAAGAGGCCTGGCTCAGGGTGGCTGTGCTGCCAGGCCAGACCTCATGGGCATCTCCTTCCCTGACCCCTGGCCCCTGGCTCCTGGGGCATCTTCTGAAATGCAGGGGCTCCCCAGGACAGTTCTGATCCAGATCCCCACCTGAGTAGCCCTGTGACTGCCCTCAAGGGGTCACAGCTCTCTGGGGCCCAGTTCTTCCTTGTAACAGTACAGTCAGCCCAGGTGCCTGCAGGGCCTGGTCCCAGAAACCCACGTGGACACCATCCTCGGATGCCCCAGCCCTTTGAGTAAGAGGCCTCATTTCTGCTAGCTCCAGTGCACATCCGCCTGCACACCGGGCTTGCCTCTTGCTACCTGTAATACCACACCCAGTGTAAATGCAGCACAAAGTGTTATCCACTGTGTGGTTTAGAAAATGATGGCCAGAAACTAAAGCACTCTGAACACAGGCGTGTTCTCCACTGCAGTTGGTAGGAGCTGCAGATGTGGGCCCCGCCCATGCCACCGGCCGACTGTGCTGGCTCCCATAAGGGAGTACATGACATAAAAGGTCCACAGCCCTGCGTGCACTTCCCGCTCGGGCTGAAGGCTGGAAACGCTGGTTACTGTCACTTACCGAGTGCTCAGCCAGGCTGGGGGTGTTGCTCAGTGGTGGAGACCAGCCTAGCCTGTGTGAGGCCCTGGTTTGCTCCCCAGAACAACAGCAACAGCAGCAACAGCAAGGCCCTCCTTAGGTTCAGCACACAGTCAGTATTATTTAGTGCCCGTAATAAGCAAATATGCCTGGCTGCGTGTGACTGGAATATATTGTCTTTCTATAACACAATAAACTGATTTCACCAAGTCATGAAGCAGGTGATAAAGGCCAGCTCCCTTGTGCGTGGAAGAAGCGGCCAGAGCCTCAGTGTGGGCTTTGTTGGTGCGTGGTTGGTATCTGTTAGTGTCACCGTTGTACTCACCAAGAGCTGGAAACTAGAATTCAGGACAGTCATTCTTTTAAGAAAACAGACTCTTTAGCATTTAAAGCCATGAATTGCCAGGGGCCACCAAGGAAGATTGAGATTTTCCATCCCTACTGCCCAGCTGAGGGGCCAAAACGTAAGAGACCTTGTGGAGCAGACTCAGCAACTCTCCCTTTTCTTTCTCCTTTCTGGGTGTGAACCCGGGGCCTTTGCACCCCGAGTTGCCCCCTCAGGCCTTCTGGTTGATTGATTGAATGACTGATTGATTGGTTTTTATTTGGAAATAGGCCTCACTAAGTCACCGTCTTGCTGAGGCTGAGCTGGAGTTTGCCATGCGTCTGCCTCAGCCTCGCAGAGCGCCGGGTCACAGCATGCTGCCCAGCGTCACGCCCAGCCGCCCGGGCCTTTGTTTCCCAAGAGGCAGGCTCCTGCCGCCACTGTGCGCTTGCTCACTCCTTCGTTCAGGGTGATCCAGTGCAGGGAATCCCGCCTTGGGGCCAAGCTGGTCACGTGCCGCGGGCTGTGCCTGTGGCCTCCCTGGGAGATGCACTCAGAGGCAGCCTTTCTGGCCTGCACCCAGATGGACCGCTGCCTGGGCAGAGGCCCTCGTGGGCCGCGCGATCAGAGCTTCTGGGCGGGGAAAGGCCCGTGGTCCTCTTCCCACGCCCTTTGTGTGTGCCCCAGCCGAGAAGGCACAGCTTGCCCTAAGCTGCTGCCGAGCTCCCAGGCCTGCGCGGGTGCCGGCAGCACCTCCAGCCCACTCGCTCAGGAACCCTGTGCGCCAGAATCTCCTCGGGGAGGCCAGGGCCCACAGACTGCGTGCGCAGAAGGCGCAGAACGCCATGCCGTCCCTCCGTAAACCTGCTGAGATCATGTTCTGGCAGCCACCGGCCACAGCACATGCACTCTGCTGCACCCACGTACCTTGGCCACACTGTCCCAGAGGGCATGCTCCATGTGTCACCTGACCTGAAGAGAGACTATCGAGACCATGCAGTGCCTCTGGCTAGAGGGCGCTGGGCCTGTTTGTGGATGCCGACGTTTTCAATTAGGTTTATTGGTGTGTTTTAGGTAGGCATCTTGATCCTGTTCACTACCAGGGATTTGTGCCTGTACGTGGCAGAGCTTGATTCTGTTTCCCGCGCCCTGGTCCCGTCAGCTCCCCTCTGCTCCTTGCTCGCACAGTTCTGTCCCCACGTCATCCTCTGGTCCTCTTCCCTCCCTCCCCTCCCCCCTCCTCGTCCCTATCCCGCCTTCGCATTTGAGCACTTCCCTCCTGTTCCACGGCTGACAGGCCCTTGTGTTCATAGCAGTGTCACACCGTGCCAGACTCTTGCCTGCATGTTACCCTTTAGCAGACTGCTTGGAGTTCTAGCTGCTGCGCTCTAGATCCAACTGCACCTCATCGTGCAGCTCCACAAGGTCTGCTTAAACTAAGAAGGGCCCAGCGCGTGCCTTTGCAGTCACTAAAGGCGCTTTATATTAAATTGATGATGCTGCTGTATTCCATACTCTACCTTGATTGTCTTAAATTTTATTCCGCTCACCTGCCTGAAGTTTTTATCTACAGTACAGTGATCACTGGGGATGTAGCCCAGCGGCTTAAGCATCTGCCTGGCAAGCACAAGGTCCTGAGTTCGATCCCTGGTACTACAAAAATAAATAAATAAAAATTAATGTAAAGGTTAAAAACAAACAAATACAGCACCATGATCTTTTTCTTCTCTCACCTTGTCTCCTTGGCTCTAGGTTTAACATGCCTCATGATGACAGCAATAAATGCAACGAGGACTCGAAGGGCATACAGCACGTCATGTCCCCCACCTTGACCATCAACTCCAACCCCTGGGTGTGGTCAAAGTGCAGCCGAAAATACATCACTGAGTTTTTAGAGTAAGTCCTGAGCTTTGCTTGAATCCAGACCACTAGAATCGGGCCCACACGGAGTGAAGTGCCACGTGGGAAAGAAATGCAGACTCAGCATTCCTCTTGGGTTGTTATTGCTGTTGACGTTCCCTGTGGGAGGGAAGACACCCAGCCTTTCATCTGCAGTTCCCAGCCTTGCCAGTGTCTGGAACATCACAGACTGGGTGAAAGGAAAGGTTTGGATCTCCGAAGCCATGTGGAAATGTTGCTGGATTTGGATAAAGCATTTGAAATTGGTTCAGTTTTGGAAGAGTCTATGATGCCGTGAGGAAGGCCACAGCATTCTCTAGTGGCGTGGGCCTGGAAAGGGCTGGGACTGAGGTGACCAGTGAGGTCCCAGGGAGGCTGCACCACAGCACACCCGGCTGTGGGACCAAGGGTATCGCCTCCCCTTCGCTCTCCCTCCCTCTTTTTTTTCCTATTTTGTTCGTAGCTTCCTGCCTGGCTGCTCAAGGGTCCAGTTACATTGTGCGATGCCCCTGTGTCACACATGCATTGTGCTTCTCCCCCGATGTAGGAAAGGCTGAATGACTGTTTCGAGACGAGTCCCTGTGTATACTTGTGAAACCACAGGGAGGAGGGGTACACTAATCAGAATTCGTTGGGTGTGGATTTTCCAGGAGGGATATTTTGAGAAGAGGGCATTTTTTTCTTCCTAGGCAGGGGGTACAAGGTGTTTTCTTTCTGTGAGTCACTGATTCACTTACTCACTCATCCCTTCAGCAAACATTTAGTAAACATTGATGCAACGGACCAGGCCCAAGCTTAAAAGAGACGCTGTCCGTGTCCCTAAGCAGCTTACAGTCTGGGAAAGAGTAAAGCAGAATAGGCAGCTGGCCCAACTGTGACGGTGTCTCTGTGCCTAAGTCGTATGCAGAGCATGTGGCTTGACAAAGTGCACATCAAGAAGGTACCTGTGGCTGCTAGGCTTGCCCCAGGTAGGAGACCAAAAGCCAAGTCCAGAAAGAAGCTGGCTCTACTGCCATTCGATTGTGCGGCGGCCTTCGCCTGTGTCAGGAGCACGGTCCCTGTTCTCATGGCAGCTTCTTCCTTCTCCCCACAGCACTGGATACGGCGAATGTTTGCTCAACGAACCTGAATCCAGACCCTACCCCTTCCCGCCCCAGCTGCCAGGCGTCTTTTACAGCGTAAATAAACAGTGTGAATTGATTTTTGGACCAGGCTCTGAGCTGTGCCCATACATGGTAAGGCGAAAGGTTTGCTTCTGCCCTTATCTGCTGCTTCTGGGCCTCTTTGGACTCACGGATTCTCGGTGGCTTCAGGCTCTTTTATACCAGGGAGAGGTGAGAATAAGACAGGCTGCGGATGCTCTTGGGATTGGCAGTGCTGAGGCCGAGGAGGCCCGCACACAGGGCTGCACAGCTCCGCCTGCACGAGCATTTGCGAGGGACAGTGAGGCTCCGGAAGTGCCAGGGCGTGGAGCTGGCAGCTGCAGGTGCAGCCCCTGCCTCTCCCGTCTCTTCCCTTGCCGTGCTTGTCGAGGGCCCAAACTTTTATAGAGTCAGGAAGGGCATCTGTGCAGCTCCTGCCTCGGCCTGTCGGGGTCTTACCCAGGGGCCACCTGAGGACCATCACTTCTGATGGCGCCCAGCAGGGGTGGCTGTGGTTTCAATGCTGGTGACGTGGGTATTCGGACTGCTGATGTCATCAGGTTGGAGGTGATCAGAAGAGGGCACGTGGGGTAGAGCTGTCAGAGATAAACTGGGCTCCAGTGAGTCCAGAGAAATAATTTTTTAAGCTTAAGTAACTTCGTGCATAGCAGCGTTCGATTCTGTGCTTCCTCGTAGTGGCACGAGGTAAGAATCGCTGAAGTGTCCACCTCAAGAGAGATCCCAAATGCCAGAGCCTACAGCAGGTGGAACACAGCCTGTACCTAGAAGCATGCTTGTGCTAGAATCTCAGGCTAAGTGCAGGAGACACAATTTATAGCATGTGCTCTCAGCTTAACGAGGAGGAAAGCCTCAGGAAACAGGGTAGCCGGGGCGCTCTTCTTCTCTTCTTTCAATTAAGTTTCCAATAACTTCTCCACTTTTCTGCTACAAGCATGGTTTACTGTAATAGTGAGGGGAAAGATTAGATTCTCTAATCTTTTTTGAAAGTTTGCCTTAAAAGAGATGAGACATAGCAGAAGCCAGACTGCGTGGAGGCGGGAGGAGGCGAGCTGGATGGGTAGGTGGGTGCATTCTATGGGTGGAGCCAGACCCCACGCACTCCTGGTGATCCCTAGGACTTGGGTCGGAGCACTGGGGCTGGTGAGGCCATGACGGCTTCTGCATGGCCGCCTCTAGGGAACGGGGAGTGGACAGGGAGACGGGGAGGGAGAGGACGCAGGGCTCTGGCTCGCTTGCGAAGATTCCTTTGCTTATTGGGCTAACTGCTGCATGAGGATCCATTACGTTATTTCTTAATACTTTTTTTTTTGATGCCTGCAATAGTTCATGGCATTTTGTCTCTTCTCTGGCATTCCCTAAATATCTTAAAACTGATTCATAATATGATCATGATATGTGGTTCTAAAGGAGAGAAACCACAGACACATTAGTCCTGAGGTCAAGCCCAAGTCAAACAAGAAGCAGTCTGAGGCCTGGACTCTAGTCATGCAGGCCAGTGGGACAGTGAGTGTGGTCTCTGTCGCCTTGAGCCTCAGTGTCCCCATGCCTGAGGACAAGGGCACGTGTCGCAGGCAGCCCTGCCGTGCAGTGTGTGTCTCGGGTGTGTGGCGCCCCCCTTTTATGCCACTGTGTCCCCATTCCTCTCCCCGGGTGCCTGAGGTGTCACTAGCAAGACTTTAATTGAAGAGGATTCTGCTTTGTTTCTTACCGACTTAATCTTACTGTCTCTTGCTGTCATCCAACTGAATTGGAGCAGGTGCAGTGCAGACGGCTCTGGTGTGACACGAACAGGAAAAGCTGCCAGACGCTGCACACCCCCTGGGCCGACGGGACAGAGTGCGATCCTGGAAAGGCAAGTAGCAACCCATTCTCTCCTGTTTGGGGGCAAAGAAGCGCATGATGTGGCCGGTGTTTAGGGTACAAGACCGCTGCGTCTGGTTTAGCTGCACAGTGCTCTAAGGAGAGCTGGGCTTCCTGCTGACCACCGTGAGGCCTCCTGCAGGCCGTGCCCCCGCCAGGGGTGTGCCTGTCCTTACTGCCTCGGAGTTATGCCTCCCAATGTAAGACTTTCTCCCCTCTTAACTGTCCTAAAATCCCAGCATGCTTCTGCACTGAGGAGCACAGTTAGGGTTTCTATTTGCTTCTCTTTCGCTTTTGGAAGTGGCACTGGGACACTGTTACAGCGTTAATGGAGTAGCTTAAGATCAAGGGCGCCCAGCAGTGCGGCAGGCTTCCTGTGCTCATTGCTGTGCCATCCGGCCTTCCCCAGCTTGTGCCGATCTCTTGAAGGACCTACAACGTCACCTGTGCCCGTGCCACACCTGTGTCCACCCCCGATTCTCATGAGCTGGGCGGGATGGTTCCCTCTGATTTGCTCATAACTCAGCCATCTGGGTTATTGTGACCTGTGATGACAGAGTCCTGCACACCCAGGACTGCGGCTCGCGTCACCTCCCGCACCTGTGCGTGCCTGAAGCAGTGGTGCTGGGTTAGTGGCACGGTCACCATCGTCCCCCGCAGGGTCTGGTCATAAATTCTAGATATAAATCCTGATGCTACCGAAGGCTCCTTAGGGACAGGGCCAGCCTCTCATCTGCCAGAGGTGTGATCCCTGCACTGGACTGCAGAGCCCTGCCATCCTCCCCAGGGGCCTGCTCCTCCCCCTGCCCTCGTCCGTTGTGCTCTGTAACAGTGTCTCTCTGTCTCAGCTCCTTTTCCTCCATTCCACCTTGTAGAATTAATAGCACCTAGAGGGTCTCCTTGGAAGGGGTCCTAAGAGGTGTCAGAACTTTATTCTCTCTCCTTGATTCTATAGGGAGCCTAAAAACATGGGCTAGAGAGATAGCTTGGCAGTCTAAGCACCTGTCTGGCAAGTGCAAGGACCCAGGTTCAATCCCTGGTACCAAATGCCATGCCAGCCCCAGAATCCTGGGCGTGCTGTACAGGCCACTGTAAATGAAAGTGGTGGTGCACACCTCTAATCCCAGCTTGGGGAAGGCAGAAACAAAAGGATTACTACAAGTCTGAGCTGCATAAAGAGGCCCTCCACCAAATAATTAATTAATTGTTTTTAAAAAGCAAGCAAAGCGATTTGCCGAAGATCACTCAGGTCACCTGCACCACACTGCGTGAGGCTTTTTGGGCAGGCCCGTGCTTGTCCTGCCGCATTGGAAGGGATGGCGGAGCTGAGTGAAGTCTCAGGCCTAAGCTCAGCCCGCAGCTTGCCCAGTTTGCGTGGGTCACGCAGGAAGACTCACGCTCTTCCTCTGACCTCTCCAGGTGGGCATTGTTCGGTCAAATCATAATGAAGACAATTTTGTATTTGACTAAAGCTAGTGGCAAAGCCGTCTCCCTGTAATGGCTCCAGGGCTGCTGCCGCCTGGTGGACAGGACCGCTGTTCCAGGAACAACCTGGCAAAGCCCCACAGGCATAATAGCTCTTAGGACTGCATTATCCTGAAAAAACCTGCATCTCTGCCCTAAGGGTGAAGCTGTGCCTTGTGCAGGGCACTGTGTAGTCGTGGTGGCTGTGGGCCCACAGGCGTGTGTAGGGATCTGCTTCTGTGGCTGCCGGGGCAGTCATTACACATTGACACTGTGACACACGGGCTCAGAGTCCTTCTAGACGCAGAGACCAGATGGCTGTGGAATGGGGCCTGGGGGACAGTCAGCCTAGCATCTACTTACAGCCCGGTTGCCGGCTCGCGTTGAATCTGCTTGATCTCAGCAGAACCCCTGGTGCTGCTGTGGCTCCTTGTCCGCCTGACACACCCACCTGCTGGGTCTGTTCCCTACAGGCTCTTGCTGGAGGGTCAGGAAGATGGCGAAGCGGCTTGTGACAAGTGACACTGCCCAACTTCACAGTGGCAGACTTCCCAGCCACTTCTGGAAGGGGCAGCACGCAGGGCTCTGCTGTGACGTTCTCTGGTCCACCTGATGCACAAGCGGAGGGGCAATGGGGCCGTGTCGCAGCTCAGAGGGCGAGGTCACAGGAGCCCGTCTCAAGTGTTGGTGTCCAGCCAGGGCGGGAGGTCGTGAGCATTCCAGGGGACGGGCTCTGGGCTTAGGATAGCAGCTCCACAGAGGATGGGCAGCTGTGTGCGTAACTGCGTGTCGGGAGGTGGTCAGAGGGCCTCCCAGCCTTTATAAAAGCTGCGGCTATGTTAAAGATGTAGGCAGGATTTGTGTGTTTTGTCTACCTCACAGAAGGTAGACATGTTGGCCCAGAATTTCTCTGTGATTTTATGTTTAGTGCTGATTTCATAAATTGGTGATCTGTGCTTCTACTTATTTATTTATTAACGTGTGAGTGAATTCTGACTCCCTTTGCCACCGGGTTGGTCCCTCTCCCCGTCCCCATCCCTGTCCCTGTCCCTGTCCCTGTCCCTGTCTCCTCTCCATCAGTGTCTCCCTCTTTCTCTTTCCCTCAGCAGTAATCTGTCTCGGCTGCTGGTACAATGTTATTCTGACAAACGACTCACTAGTGTCCTTTTACTTTGCCCTTTCTCTGGTTAAGCCCATAAAGATTTTCATTTTAACCCAGTTCGTGAGGCCAAGGGTTGAAACTCTTTTGTTTCAAGCCTTCTTGGAACAAAACTGACTTTAAGTCCCTTTTCCAAAATATTTAAAAGATGCATTTTTTAAAAACATCACTGAGGGCCAGTGAGATATCCCACTTAGGCAGGTGTGGGGACCTGGGTTTGATCACATGCCACAGCCAGCCCCGCCCCTGGACATGCTGGTCTCACCACTGAGCCTGGGTGTGGTGGTGCACGCCTGTAATCCCAGCCCTGGGGGAGGCTGAAAATAGGAGGATCGCTATGAGTCTGAACTGTGTAGTGAGACCCTGTACCAAAGACAGGAAAAAAAAATCAGTTAAATGGTTTTGAATGCTTTTAAGAAAGGTTGACTGTTCCGGCTCTGGTTCCACCAGCCACATAATGTGTTGTTATGATGTAGCAGCTGTTCCACAGGTGGTGACAATTTTTCAAGTGTGCTAGTGAAATAGATTCTCAGGGTGTTTCCCAGACAACCCCCATCAGCCCATGTACAAGGTCCTCTGGGGTCCATCTCTGGCCATCTCTGTTAATGGCTGGGCCAAGCTAGAAAGGTCTAATTTGTTTTTAGTGAGAATTTTTGTTGAAGAAGGGAGCGCGGGGACGTTTCAGCATTACTCTGAATGGGCACCCTGGTCAGCCTTGTCCTGCTTTGCTTTGAGTTTATGGTGAGGGAAGATGTCACGTGGCACCTACTCTCGTGGAGGTAAAGCCTGTAGACCAGAGAGGTCAAACATTGGAGGTGTGTGATGTCAACAGGAGGCGAAATTTTGACGACAATGTCAGCCTCTTGGAAATGCCCCTTGTCCACCGCTGGGCGGGGAGCAGGTGCCGCAGCCTGGGGCAGACCCCCGGGGGCTGTGCCTCTGCATTCTACTCTCCTTTCTGCCCCGCAGCTGGCACCTGGAAGTCATCCTTCCATGCCTCCCTTTTCTGCAGAACTGGGGTGATAGTGGCACCTACTTGGGAGAGCATTGTGAGGAATGAGGTGATGTCATGGGTTCAGGTCACCCTTCAGGGAAGCGCTGGAGACCCGAAGGGTTTGGATTTCAGAAGCCCTTTGCTTTCAGCACTTTGCACGTGCAAGTATATAACGAGCTGGCTTGGGGCCAGGGCCCAGTCCAGAACACAGGCTCACTGTCCCTTCGTACACCGAGCTTGAGGGCAGACTGTGCACGGTATTTGCCACTGTTCTTTGTTTTGACTATGACCTACCACCTGATATCAGCTTTGGGGCTTTACTTGGGGCCAGTTTTGGGTTGTGGAGCTTCTCCGGTTTTGCATTTTGAGATCAGGGTGACAAACATGAAGTGCAGTGGCCTGTCTGTGGCCCCCTTCCATTGCTGTTTTGTGTGTCGCCGGGTGCTGAGCTGCATTGCGGGTGCCTCCTGTCACACGGCACAGAGCCATGGCGGGTGGCTCCCAGGTAGGCTCCCTGACAGGCCAAGCCAGAGTTAGTTTTTCCAAGAGCCACCACTTCAGCCAGACCTGTTTCTCTGCTGATCTTTGTCCCTGTGGACCTGCTTTGTCCTCTGTGACAGCCCTAGTCAGTGGTGGCTGTGGGCACTTGGTCAGAGTTTAAGTGTAAAGAACACCCAGGTTCTGGAGATTTAGCACAGCTAGAACAGTGCGCAGATACTCCGCCCTGGGCGGTCCGTCCTGTCCTCTGCGATGCGTTCCAAGGTGTCTTGCAGCTGCCTGAAATCCTAAGTATTGCTGTACTCTACCTGTCACAGTGCTTACTATACAGATGTACATACCCACAGTAAGTTAAACTTATAGATTTCTGGAACTTTCTCTGGATATTTTCTGACTGATCACTTGAAAGTGGTGTGCAGGAAGTGGAGTCCCAAGGGGGGACCCCGTTGGGATTTGCAGACTGAGAGCTGGTAAAAATGATGGTATTTGAGACATTTTGGGGGAAGGAGAGTACGCTAACATCTATTTTCAGGTTTTCTTTTTTTTACTTTTTAAGTCATGACCTGTGACATTCTTAAAGCGTCACCTATGTGGCTTGCATTTTGCTTCTACTGGAGAAGGGGGCTGCAGCTGTCTCTCTGTACTTGTGTGTACGTCTATCCAGGAGATGCTGACAGCTACTGTACAGACAAACATAGAGCGACCTCTGGGCAGGGTGGGCCAGACGCCACCTCACGCCTTCTGCACACAGGCCAGAGAGAGCCATGCCCTCCTCAGTGACTGGGCCGCCACCCACCCAAGGGAGGGCCGCTCCCTCCAGCCCTGCCCTTCTCATCCCCCCAGCGCCCCACCCCCGGCCTCCACCCAGCTTCTGCCTGGACCTGCACCCTCCCTGCAGGGAGTCACAGCCGCTGCTCCACTTCAGAGATCTGAGGGGCCAGAGCAGCGTGCCCTCTGGCCACCATTCTTCCTCTGGCCACCATTCTTCCTCTGTCCACCACTCAGTGACATTAGCTCTGGGTCGTGGCTTCACACCCAGGCATGGCAGAGGGTTGGCATGGGCCTCCCACTCCGTCCTGCCGAGGAGTTTGATTACTGTTGTTGTTGTTTGTCCTCTGTGGCCTTTTCCTGCCGTAGGCTGGGGTTTCTGAAATCGTTGTAAGAACAAAGCATTGCCCTTTGGGCACTGAGTGCTTAGGCTGATCTTAATGTGCTTTCTTGGAGTGAGTTCCTGATTTAGTTAGAATTGGGTTTTCTAACCTCCGAGGACCATAAAGCACATTTTACCACTCTGTGACATCTCCAGACCTTGTTGGAGGAGAAGCACTGCTCAGGTGCTGGCCCCGTCTGGCCTGCAGCCTTCCGCTCTCCCCACTCAGGCCCAGTTCCCGAGTCCACAGCCGAGGTGAACGGTCTCCCCGGCCGCCTACAGCCGTGTGCTCACTGCTAGCCTTTTTCCAGCCAGCTGTCAGTACAGGCCCAGGCTCCAGCCAGTACGTGTGAGATTACAACCTCACTGTTCCCTCCATTCATGTAGCTGGTGGGTTTACAGCGTTTCAGGCCAGCGTGGGAGAAAGCACAGCAGCTCAGTTGTCAGAGGGGACAGCAGGTCAGATGGGGCTCTCCGACAGCAGCCTCTCCCTCACTGTTCCCCTTGTTGAACACAGCACTGCAAGTTCGGGTTTTGTGTTCCCAAAGACAAGGAGGCCCCCATGGTTGATGGAGCCTGGGGAAGCTGGAGTTCCTACGGAAGCTGCTCCCGAACGTGCGGCGGGGGCATCAAGACGGCCATTCGCGAGTGCAACCGGCCAGCGTAAGTCCTGGAGTGGATCTCTGCATCGCTGGGGTGGGCGAGGGCAAACGGTGAAAGGGGACGCTGGGGTGGGGTGCTGGGGGCGCCCGGGACGCGTGCACGGGGCCCAGCCCCTGCCTCCCTGCTGCTGTTCCCTGCCAGATGCGCTGTGCCAGGTTTGTCAGCAGCTTGATGCCCTTGCCTCCGGCTGGCCCGTTCCCCGAGTATATGATGTAAAAATAATCGGATGTCTTTATTCCTAACCACCCCGGGGTTAAGCCCATAAGAAATTATCCTGATAAATAATTTGATGTGTGTCGTTTCAGACTTTTAAAGATGTACTATGTTTCACATGGCACAGGACTCGTGGGATGTGAAGGAAGACTGGCACTGCTTTTTAAACCCAACTCTATATCTTAGCTCTTTGATGTTTAAAGCCAGGCCTCTTACCCTAACTGCAAACATGGTGATTTCTTTACAAACTGAAAAACTGCCATCTCTACTGGGCAAAATTATTTATTGTACAGCAAGTGTCATTATTTTCTGGATAGGCGAGACTTTAGAATTCTTTTTGAAGTCTGATTCAGGATATTCCATTTAAAGGAGTGTTCCGTACTTTTCTGTGTTAGGATTTTCTCCCTTTTGAGACTGTAGAGCAATCCTAGATGTAAATCACACCGTAATCGGACAGGCGAGACAAAGAAATCACTGGAGTGAAGCTGTCGGCCAGAGGGGTTGGAGCTTCAAAGTGAAACAGAGGTCCTTCCATTCAGATGTAGGGCGCGGATCTCGTTAAAGATCTAAAGGTCCTCTCCTGGGTGTTTGCATGGGAGGTTCGCAGACAATGCCGCGCCACCACACGTGGGCACTGACACTGCGTCATTAAGACGCCTCAGTCGCTTG